CGCCGCCGCCGCCGCCGCCGCCCCCGCCCGCCGTCCGCCGGCCCCCGCCTCACGCGTTCGGTGACACCGCTCTCGGCGCTCCCTCCCACCGGCCCCGGCTCCTCCCTCTCCCTCCTCCCCGCTCCGCCGCCCGGTCGGAGCTGCCCCCTACGTTCTCCTCGCCGCCCCCGCCATCTTGGCGCCCCCCCACATAAATAGAGCAGCCCCGCAGCCCGCGCAGGCGCAGCCCGGCTCGCGTCGCTGCTGTTATTGCTCAGCTTCCCCCGGACGTCAGCGCGGTCGCCACCGCCCACATGCCGCGGGCGCCGGGTCCGCCCCCGGTTGCCGGGGCGATGTGCACGCCGGGCCCGCAGTCGGCCGCGGGGGCTGCGCAGCGTTCGTCGTCCCGGGGCAGCGCGGGGAGTCTGCAGGGGCCGGGGGCCTGCCTGCTGAAGGAAGGTCCGCTGTGGTCCCTGGAAGTCGGCGGCAGTGGGTCAGTCACCAGAGAAAAGCCGCCCGTGCGGGGAGAGCGGCCGTTCCCAGCCTGGACGGCGCGGACGCATCRTGTCTAGGTGGTATCAGCCCACGCTGAGTGGAGCAGCTGAGGACACCGGGGTTTGAAAAAATCGTGCCGTATCGAGTTGATCGTAGCCTGTTCCTACAGAGCAGCAGCCGCTACCGTGGGGGCCGGCTTGCCTTCGGGGGACAAGGAGCTTGTTCAACGGCCATGCAAGGTCTGTAGGGTACCAGCTCTAGCTGCAGGGAGCAGTTGTGGGTGGGTGGGAAAGAGCTGTTCGAGAGAGATGGGGACAACGCAAGGAAGGCAGGGTTTGAGCAGCAGCGAGGCTTCCCTCATGAGCAGGAGCTGCCTGCGAATACTGCAAGTGTTTCTGTCTGTCACCACCTACTTTGACAGACTGACGACTGGTATTTCCAGATGGAGGTATGCCACCAAAGCCATGTGAAGTTTCAGTAAGCTTATGATCATCATGAGCACTGTATCCTCCAGCTTCTTCGGAGCAGAGAAAAAGACGTTACCATTTCTGGGGTTTTTTTTTAGTCTCAGAAATATTTGGTATGAGTGGGTTTATTCTCTTATAGAAAAATATACTCACGCAAAGCAAACAATTTACATCTGTGTAAATTATTTTGGATAATTATAACAGCCTATTCTGTGCATCACATTACTCCACTTTTCAAACTGCATGCATCACTGTGCTTGATGTTTTCCTCTCTTTGCATGGGAAGTCTTTTGACTTGACCTCTTAATTTCATCTACACTCTGGAGAARATCCCTGACATTAGAACAATGTTACTGAAAGTTATAACATCACTAACAGGGAATGGAGGGCATTCCAGAATACTCCTCAGCAAGTCACTGGAATGATTGACCCCATCTGAGAAATGTAAACTCTCCTTTTGAAGCTTGAAACTTTGTTGAGCTTTATCGTCTAAGGGACTTATTTTATCTTAAAGTCTTGCATGTTGTGGTATGACTAGTAAGCTTGGTGGAGATAGATATATTCCTCAAATATGTTTCAACTTCCACTATGATAAAAATTTGATAGTTGCAATTGTTGTTCTGTTGAGAATTTSATACAGCTATCTGTGATGCACATAAACAATGTATTTCTGGATTCAAACTGAGTGAACATCCCTAAGCTCCAGACATGTGGACCCTGCCAGGAAGATTCTGATTCTCATCAAAGTTTCTGTGTCATCCATATCATTAAATCCTGTGAAAGTAAAAGGGGGCCTTTCCTCAGAAAAAAAGCAATTTATTGCACATCAAACAGAAATCTTATGTGGAAGTCACAGGCTCTTCAGCAGCTCTGCTGAACACTCCTTTTCAATTACCAGATGGGAGATCAGACCTTGAAATAAGTACAAGAAGAATAAAAAAAGATAGTTTATTCACTAAGTATTCACTGAATAAGTATTTTTCAAACCTCACTTCCTGGAGAGTTTCAGCTTAAGAGATACCGGACTCCTCTCCAGAGCTTCAAGAAGGGCTTTGAACAAACCTGACCAAAAGAGCAAGGTTTCAATGGCAATAGGAAGTTTTAAGAATGGCAACAATTTTAATGCAAAAAGTAGTTACTGCTCCTGTAACTGGAAGCACTTTTTACCCTTCAAAGTGGATTTAGGTGCATCTTTTGCTCACTTGCTGAGGTGAGAAGTGGTCTTCCAACACCATGTTTTGTGCCAGGATGCCATAAACAGCATGACTATGTATCTCAGAGGTAGCTGATGAAARCAAAATGTTGTTGTTTAATGTGTTTTTATGTCACATTAAAAATAAGTGAGAAATCAGGGCAAGTCTTCATGTGGAAGAAGGAAAGGGATTACAAYGGAGGGGATGTGTCATGGCAGTGTGAGGTCCTCAACCAAAGGTGGGGGTGTTAGGGTATCTATCATCCATGCTGTTCAGAAGAATTTTCTCAATGAGAAATTTAAAGCTGACACAACTTTTGAATGACTGGTGATTTTTCTGCCCTACAGAACCTTGTAACATTCTTTAAGCTAATAAATAAGACTGTTGACTTAGAGGAACGTCACAGAAAATTCAAAGCCTCAAGTGYTTGGTTTAGATGATGTAGCAAGTTAGGAAGAAAACACACTGAGAGAAGAAGGAAAGAAGAACTGCATCCTTGCCAAGGAAGAGCAAACTGCTTGAAGAACCTCCTGTGGCAACACCTTTTGAGCCTGAAGAGAAGATGAAATATTAAGACACTAAACATCAGCTCTTAAGTAGGTGCATTTATCAAGCAGAGCAGGATCATTTGTTCCTTTGGATAACAGTAGCAAATTCAGTTGTAAACAACACGATAAGAACACTTCTCTAGTTACATCTTATTTTTTATTTAATTGTTAATAATAATTTCTGCTTCTGGTGTTAAGCTTTATTACTGGAGCAAGCATGCAACTTTTGTCTTTAAGCTTTCCTAATCTTAAGGGTGAACTCATTAGAGTTTGACAAATAAGCTGTAAACTTCCACAGTAGTAGTGATCCCAGATGGTGTGTGGACTCTGTCTTAAATGACATTAATCTGGGGATGTCACGCCCTGAGAGATTTTCTCTGCCAAGCAGTGAATCTCTAGGAAATTCCTCTTTGCACGTTTACTCTTAACTTTTCTAAGAAGGAGGAAAAAACAGAGGGGAATAAATTAATTACCTTCTAAGTGATGGCAAGAAAATTAAAGCCACTGAATTACCAAAGTAACAAGCAATAGGACAAGATAAAGCTGATCTGAAATTGCACCAAAGGGGGTTTCAATTGAATATTAGGAGAAAAATTTCATCAAAGGGTTRCCAAGCAATGGAATAGGCCACCCAGGGAAGTGGTTGAGTCACACTCCCTGGAGGTATTTARGGGCTATGTATATGTGACATTTGTGACATGGTTTAGTGGTGCTCTGTGCAGTACTGAGTAAATGGTTGGATTCAATGAATTTAAAGTTGTTTTATTCGACCTGAATGGTTTGATTATTTTTA